AAATTTGCATAAAATATTTAAGCCAAATGGTCGGTCGATTGTGTGGGTTGTCATGTGAAGAAACAGTAGCGCTTGAATGGCTTTCTTATAAAGGCCCGGGCACAGCCGTTGGCTGTGCACGCCGTGATCGACTTGGCAGAGCTGACAGCCTAAGGCTATGCGAATACGACAGATCCCACTTCGCCAATGACATATGCGGTATGGATTTGTTGTCAGGCCCGAAAAATGAAGCGAACGAGGGCAAGCCGTTCGAAAGTGTGCCTTGTTTCCACTTTGCAAGCGGTATTTACATATTTGGGGCACAAAAATAATGCAAAATAAATCAACTTTGGTTACATTAAGAAAAGTGAGACATTGCATAGTTTGGTTCATTTGAAGAGGGGCAGATTGGTCATCAGAGAATATTTGGATTAGATATTTAAGCAAGATATTTTGAGTTATGAGTTTGCTTACTCTGATTATAGTTTATTATGAGAGCATTTCTTGCTGCCGCTAAATATATATATATATATAATATGTAAGGACTTGAATCTTAGTGTGAGAGCTCCACTTGGAAGACTTCTCTTTAAGCACGCTCAATTGCAGCAGAGGACTCGCGGGCTGCTGGGGCAGGAGTTGGGGCTCGACATGTTTCAGTCAAGTGGAGCATGGGGCAGTTGGCTGCTTTGATATCCTTGCCGCATTAAGCAACAACTGGCGGCCTACTTTGGCGAGCGCCACACCCACAGCCACAGTCAGCGAGATAAATGTACGCCCAGCGCTGATGTGCATGCAAATGTACATTTTTGGGGCCGGGCAGACAGATGTCAAGACAGCAGCAGACGACTTCTTGTGTACTCGTTTGGGTATGCCTACATCTATATATACACACATATACATACATGCGTGTGTGAGTGCTTGTATAGTTGTTTGTAGCCATGGCATATGTGGCTACCCATTACAATGCGAGCAACAACATGGGCGCTACAGCAGCAAAGATGTGCCACAAGACGAGCGAAAATAAATGAAAGTTTACGTTATAAAATGCCAAACTCTGGCACACAATCTATTGGCAAAAAGTCAAGCCAAACAGCAGTCGCAGCAACAACTACAACAGCTCCACCAAAACTGTTGACAGAAGCGGCAGAAAGCACCGAGCGAGAAGAGCTAAGGCCAGAGAGGATCGAGCACCAAATGCCCTTACAGGTGAGAGGAATAGTGAAATGTATCAGCAAATATTAATTATTTTTGTATCTAAAATTAATTATGCAAATTAATTTCCAGGGTATATACAATATTAATATGTTTAAGTAGGGTGTCATGTACTCTTAACTGAAAAATGTTTGTATCGAATAATATGAATAAATCAATAAATATAAAAAATGCAGTTAACTGTTGTTATTACTGTGCAAAACTTGTAAATAAAAAAAAATAAATAAAAAAAATAAACATTGTTATTGCAATATTAAGCATTTTGTATTATAGGTACAGCTGCGGTCATCAAAATAGTTGTGCGACTGTAGAGAGATCAAATAACTCAATGTCTACATCAGAATTTATAAATATATAATAATTTATATATATAAATTTAAATTTCGAATTGTTTTAAAAATATTAAAAATTTAATCAAAATTTAATTCAATTTCTTTGATAATGGGTGTATATACATAGAATATAAGAATATAGTCAAAGGGTTTATGTATTATAGTTTTCAGATTCTTTTCCCAAACCGCTACAAACGTATTTACAAAGTTAAGTGACCTCAAGGGAGGGTATGTGGAGTGAAAGAAAGTGTAGGCCAGAGGCGGGGGTTATTGTTGTTGTAGTTGTTATCCACAGGCATAAAATAGCGCATATAAGATAAAGGATATGTGCCAGCCTCCCACTCCCTCTCCCACTCCCTCTCTCTATCTATCTCCCTCTGTGTTGTTGCAAGATTGTAGCAAGAGTCAACATATGGCGTTAAAGATGCGAACGTGCAGCGAATCCTTGAAGTTTTCCCTACATACATTTTTTTTCAGCTCTACTTTTTTTTCGCACCCTCTCTTGGCTGTTGGTCTAATTTAGCAGCTGGTCCGGCCTTTAAGCTGTACACATCGGCATTAGTATTGGCAACAGGCTGGCTTATTTAATTTTGCTGGCAACTGTTACCTTAATCTACGCCCCGCTTTCCCCCCTCAGAAACTTTATTTGCAACAGCCTCCAATATTTGCCTGACATTGCAAATAGAAACGATTCTCCCATGCAAACCGAACTGAGGTCGACTAATCAAAAATTGATTGATATATGCAGTAGTTGATTCCAAAATATTATTGCGCTTTATTGCATAACGGTAAATAGCAATATTTGACATACACATTTGAAAAGGACTGGTTAACGGGGCTAAGGGCAAGAGCAAAACAAGTTTTTAATAAATTGAAACCAAATATACATACGACGATTAGGCTTCAGAGGTTCCGGCAGTCAAATCTAACAAATCTAACTAAGGCAGACCAAATATCATGTTTTGCATAGAGTTTTGATTGAAAATTTAATAAAATTGAATGCAGCAAGCAAAAAAGCCATGGCCCGTAATGGATGCAAGGAGGCTAAGTAAATAGTTCTGAAAATTTACTTTTATTACATTTTAGTTGACTATCAAAGCAATAGCCAATGGATATAATTGAGGTCAAAGTTGTATACCCTGCACGGATAGGTGCACACAAAGGTGAGTATGAAACTTTAAAATATATTTGTTAATATATTTGGATAAAGCTAAGCACCTAGATTGAATTGAATAGGTGAATATTTGATTACATTTTTTTTTGTAAATCCCTTTATATTTTTCATTGCTTATAAATGATTTTTGCTATGTATTATCCAATATGTTTTTTTTTATTGTCAGCTATATTAATAAAATAAATTTATTAGAAATCAAATAAATAAATAAAAATAAATATAATGTCACTGTCGAGAAACTCTTTTATTAATACATATTACAATAAGATTCAATCTGAAATGCTAAGTTAACAAGAGTTTAAGACATGCATCGCAGAATTGTTAAGGAAAATTTTTCCGATTCAGTCACGTCATGATATATATCAAACCGAGTCATTTGCCAACTGATGATAAGCATATATTAATCTATAGCCTTTTGCAGGATATTTCTAAGCCACTCTCACTTATGCAGCTCTTTCGTTCAAGTTCACAAAAGATTTTTCTCTCCGTTATTGCTATTTGGTATTTAAATGGAATTTTAAATGCATGCTTTGCAGCAATAGATAGCTTTCTCACTCTTTTCTGCACTAGCTCACCATCACTCTCTCTCGCTCTCTCTCTCTCTGTCTCTCTCTCTCTCTCTCTCTCTCTCTCTCTCTCTCTCTGTCTCTCTCTGTCTCTCTCTTTCTCTCTCTCTATCTCTCTATCTCTGTTCATGTCTGCGTGTGTGAAAGTCAGTGTAGCTTGTTCCAGTAAGTTTTGTGGTTAGTCCTGACCTGACCGGAGCCAGCTTTGCGCCCCATCGACAAGGCACGAGGCATGAGGCAACAGGGATAAGGCACCGGGCAATAACCTCAACCTGCTGTCATCTGCATATTATCAATAAACGTTGCTGGAGGCCAACAGATTTCATCTGACGGCAAAGACATTCAATTGTCTTGCAGGAGATACGAGTGGCTGCATAGAGCAGCAGCTGGAGCAAATGATTTTGTCATTTGTAGTGATTCACATGCACATTTACAGCAAGCTGATGGCACTGATGTGCGCGTCTCTATGCGAATCTCAATTAGAGCAGTTAACGATAAAACGAAAACGAAATCAATATTGCATTGAATCACGCAAGTTTCGTCTAAAAGTTATTGAATCAACTTTAATGATCTACGTTTGGCATGTGAATACATTTTATGCCGGTCTATGCGCTTCTCAATGATGCTGCTAATTAAGGCAGGCGAGAGGCCTGCGGCCAAAATGTGTACATTTTGAAGACAAATTCGAGTCCGTGCCAACAATATGGCAATAAACGAATTTTCGTTTATAACAATGCAAGCTGGCCGAAAACCCAGTCACATTGGGTCACTGTCCGGTTGCCAGTGTAGGCAAACTGCGTGCAACCACATGCAATTTTGTTTGGATATCTGCTGCAGGCGCCGTAGCGGCATGTGGCGAGGGTCGGGGTGCCATGTAGTTGCACTGGAGACCAAATGCCACTGCTGGCGAGGGGCTATGGCGTGGGGGAGGTGCCACTGCTATTTGTATTTTGTTGCAGGACATGATGTCATTGGGCATATCCTCTGAGCGCACAGAAAGCGCAGCCAGAGCGACCAGACTGCAGGCTAGAAAATTTTATTGAAAATAGTCTATGCGAAAAATTCAAAACGCCACATTTGGGTCTTGATGGCCAGGCCGAAAATCAGCAAACGGAAGCAATATTCTATGGCATTCATTCACCTTCCTTATGCAGAGCCATAGTTCCCCATTGGGAATTACTAAATTCTTGGAATTTCAATGCAACTAAAAATGCATGACCTTTTAAGTCGATTGCCAAATGATTTTGGCCAGTTAATTAACAATTGATATGGCGAAATAGCCCACTCGCACGTGTGGAGCGTATTAGTTTTACGTCTAAACGTAACGATTGAATTCGATTTGTATTGGGTGTGAGAGCTAAGCAAATCTTATCAGCCCCAAGCAAGTGGGCAATCGTCTTGGCCGTCTCTGCTCGCAGCTTTTAGTCGATGTCTGCACACAGACAGCTCAACATGTCCGCCTGGGCCGTCTCCAATACGAACCTCAATGACGCCACAACGAGCGCGACTGGCGCCACAGGATCCAGGCACCGGCGGCTGATACGTCTGGCCTGGCAGACGCTGACTGCCAAATGCCAGCAGCTCACTGAGTTCTTGAGACGGGAGACGAACAAACCACTGCCGAAAGAATTACGTCGATCGCTGCGTCTGAATAAATCGGCCAAGCGGAAAGGCTATCAGCAGTATGAGACTGAAGCAGATAAACAGTAAGTGGAACTCACGCAGATAAGCCTGCTATTATTGTTTACCTCGGCCGTATATTTATTATAGATATCTAATATATTTGTTTATTTATTAGACGCATCAAGGATTATTTGAATCAGCCCATTAATCTATCTGTTCGCTTGGGACCCGCCTACGACTACAGACCCTCCAACTCCTAGCCAAAGCAGAAGCATAGCTCTAAGATGTAGAGAAATTAGTTAATTGTATGAGCTTTAAGCTTATATTTTGTTTTCAAACTAGTGTTGTATTTATAAAGCTTTAATAAGAAACTTGAACTGCATTTAGTACATTTACCTTTCAAACTGTTAAGCTTGTATGGTAAGCTTTTATGGCTAAGGTTTTGTGCTTTAACTTTTATGGCACTTGACCAGTGTTGCTAGTTTAGCCTATTTCAGGCTAGATCTAGCCATTGGAAATGAGTATAGAAAGGAATAGCCAGAAATTGTAGCAAACTATGCCGGACTCCTAATTCTTAACAGAATATACATTCTTGAACGACGAAGAAAGACTACAGAAGATCCTTTAAGTTGTCTATATGTATGCAGCAGTATTCCTTTGGTATACGTTTAAGTAAGACGAAGCTGGAATGCAGAGCAACAGAGAGTGTTCTCAATGGTCACTTAGGACTCGACGGCAACGACGCCTACCTGACATCGAGCACAACATTTGAGTGCAACTTAAGGTTTGAGTAAATGTCGCCCTATATAAAGGGCTGCTGCTACAGAATTTTTCAGTCGTCCAGGCCTGGTGGGGGTCTTCGTGCAGTGCCATAAGGTGAAGTAAAGTGCTTGATCGTTCAGCAAAGCATTAGAGAGGAAACACTTGGAAGAAATATTTGTAGGAAGCTGTTTGAGGAAATATTTAGAGGAACTACTTAGAAAAAAAAAACGCTTAGAGGAAAGATTTGGAAGAAGACACTTATAAAATACACCTATTAGAAAATATTTGGAGGGAATACTTAGAAAATACACTAAAAACAAATACTTACTTAATTAATTAAATATATTTGCTACTTTTCGTATGCCTACTTTGATCTACAATTAAACTTATTTCGGAGCTCAACAGTTGGCAGAACTGCACTTGTCAGTTTTAAGCTTTTATGGCAACAAAGCTTTCATGTTTTAGCTTGTGCAACGCTTAGCTAAACATGGAAGCGCCCTATAAACTTTCCGCGCGTTTGTAGCTCTTGAAAGCTTTTGCATTTTGCCGGCTGTGCTCTTGGCTTCGCTCAGCAAATATTTGTTACGTTTGCTCTTAACCAGTCAGCGTTGGCCTCTCTTAAACGCGCCCACACAAAAGTTTATTGCCCCGCTCCGAGCAAGTGAACGTGTCTGCGCACGCTACACCAGCAAGGCATATTGATTTGTTGTCAGCCACCAGACAGGTGTTAGACAAAAGACTAAAACTAAAACTAAAAAATATAAATCCTATAATATATTAAATTTTAATATTTTTTTACTATTTATTTAATTACTTTTACTAACTCTAAAATTGAATCTAAGCAACTACAAATTATTTTTTATATATTAGTAAAATCTAAGAAAATACAATTTAAAACAAGTAAGAAAGCTCTAGTCGAGACTGCTCGACTACGAGATCCCCTGAACCCTTGGAGCAATAGATATTTCAATAATTTTTCGCGTCTTTCAGCTTACACAAGAAACACGCACACACACACACACACACACACACGCACGTACGCACACACAAACATACATACACACACACGCATACACACACACATACACACACACATACACACACGCACACGCATACACACACAAACGCATACACACACACATACACACACAAGCACCCACGCATAAACACGCATGGGCTGCAGTGTGCGCTTACTATGAGAACTTAATTGTTTTATAACATGGACGTACGTTTTGTTGTTTTTATGGACGTACGATCTTCATGAAACTTTCAGATTATGATTATAACATGGATATGCATGTAATTGCCAAAGCACAAGTCTCTAGTATTTGAAATACGCTTTTTACAAAAGTGAGGGTGAGGGGTTGAATTTAAGGGGTTGAATTTAACAAAAACCGAAATTGTATAAATTGCATATAAGCATACATTAAAAATTTGGAGACTCTAGCAATAAAGGTGTAGAAGATATAATTTTATAACTGGTTTTCGATAAGGTTTTTTATCGATAAAAAAAAGATCGGGATGAGTTATCGATTTTTAATGATAAGCTTGATACGCGCGCTGTAATTACGGACATTTAAAAAAAAATTTGAAGTCTCTAGCTCTTATATCTTCGGAAATCGACGCGCTCAAACATACGGACAGACGGACAGACAGACAGACGGACAGGGCCAAATCGACTCAGCTCGTCACCCTGATCAAGAATATATATACTTTGTGGGGTCTGCCACGCCTCCTTCTGCCTGTTACATACATTTCAACAAAACCATTATACCCATTTCAATGGGTTCAGGGTATAATAAATTCCATAACACATAGTGATTAGAAATAATAATAAATATATAATAATTAATTTAAATATGTCACCATGAATATTATTGCTTAGCAGAGCATTCACAGGTTCATATAGCTCAGTCGAGTGTGTCAACTTTTGCCGAAAGCATTGGTTGGGTTTTCCTTGCTGGAGCTCCAGCATTTGGATTTTGTACGCGCTCTGCCCCTTGCACAGTCTCTCTCTGTATCTCTTTCTTTCTCTCTCTACACACACACACACACACACACACATCTGAGTTTCGCTTTGTCCGTAACCATGGAACCACACATACGCACACACGAGCACCACAGAAAGCGTCGTCTCCCCTTTTTATGACAGCTTAGTGTGAAAAACGTGTTCAACGCGGAAATGACATTGAGAGTGAAATTTCATCTAGCTGCATAAAGTTCAAAGGCATAGAATAAAAAAATTATTAAAAAAAAATAAATAAATAAAAAATACAAATAAATAAATAAATTAAAGACAAGACAATTAAAGCAAAACAAACAATTATTACAAACTGTTATTAGCATTCGTGTTATGTAAAGTTAAACCAAATGTTTAGTATTAAGTCACCTCAGCTGCTTGTGCAATTTGCTATTTGACAAAGGAACAAAATCAAATTGGAAAAAATTCAACTAGAAACAAAAACAAACAATATGAAGCTCATTTCAACCCTTGTGTATTTGCTGGTGTCATTCTATAAGTTCATCAAGAAATTTCTGTGAGTTAAATTAGATTAAGGGCAAGCCCCGGCATTTAAGTAAAATATTGATAAAACAACAAATCGCATGGCAAAGTGACTTTGAAACAACACAACAACAACAACGACAACAGCGACAACAACAACTACATTTGCCTACAGCGTCTACAACAGCAATAAAAGAAATCCATTTGCATGCCATTGGATTTTTCCGCATTCACCAGGTTCCCCCCAGCATATTGTACATTTTCTTTGTGTATTTATTAAGCCATTTAACGGTTACCTTCTTTAATTTTGTTTATTTCTCATTTCCCTGTGTGTGTACCGCAATTCCAGCTCGTTTCACATTTCCATATAGCTGTGTATGTATGTATGCGCTTGTGTTTGCTTTTGTAATATTTTACAATAAATATTTTTGACTTTGATTTCAATGAGTCTGAAAGAGCAATTCGAACTGTGAGAGCAAGAGTGAGAGTGTTAGCTGAGAGCAGATTCCGCTATGCATCTCTCTTTAGCTCTTCTCCACTCGCACTCTCACTCGCACTGTCATTCGCACTGTCACTCTCAATCTCAATTGCGGATTCGGTTTGTTTGGGTCTGACGCCGCTTTATGTCATGTGTGTGTGTGTGTGTGTGTTTGTTTGTTGTGTGAAGGCGTGTGTGGCTACTACAAATGAGCTTTTAATTAATATAACGGCACTTTGTGTATCCGTGTGCGTGTGTAACATTTACCGGCCCTTGTTGAGGGCGTTGCCTGCACAATTCCATCAGCTTTTGTTCTCCAAATGGTATCCTTTTGTTGCGCTGCCTTTCGGGGTTGAGTGACCTCGTCTCGAGGCGAGCCGGCAATTATATTTATATGACTCTATATGTATATTCAACGAAGGTGGTGTGGCCCAGAAGAATAGTGTTATATTAGGCAGAGTATTTCGTTAATTTACCAGGGTTAAGCTAGTTACAGAATATTTATAATACATGAAACACTTCAATATGTTATATACTCATAAAGGTCCAACAGATTTCAAAACTCCCCCAAGCTGTGCTACTCAACTTTCCATTCGCGTTATCAACTAGCATTATTGTTTTGGGGTCCACTAACCGAATCTCCAGACACGTATCCCAACCCATTGTTAGATGAGTCACCGGCCGCTTTCTTTGCTTTGGATCTGGATAGAGTGAAAACGATTCATTTGCTGGTGACAAAACAGGTCTGAAGATTAAACATCAGTTTATATGTAAATGTGTATTTCTATTTTGCATTTATTTTCTAATGTTATGTTGTCGCATTCATTTTTACCTGCTCTACATAAATCCATGGACTCCCTTTCCACAGTGATTACGTGCTCAGGCACATGCCTATCGTTGCCAAGTCGAAAGCCCGTATACCTTACCTACCCCAAACCCATTAACAATTTAATTAAAATTCCCCATTGTATACAAAACAAAATCTCTTCATGCCGGCATAACAGAGCTGTAATCCAGCGCATTTGGCAGTCCGCACTCGACACGGCATTCGGCATTACGCGAAGTGCTACTAGAAATCACTTTCAGTGATAAGTGCATACGGATCAAATTCCAAATTACAAACATATTTATGAAATCACATACGTACAGACATACATACAAACAGACAAACGAAGAAGCATATTTATATAGTACACACTCATGGCACGCTTACGTTGCCCAAATTGATAAGCCGGACTGCTGTTCGGCGTAAACAAAAAAAAATAAATAAAAACCATAAACAAAAACAAATCAGTGCAGCACAATAAATATGTTAGAAATGTATACAAACATATTCACATATGTACATATATAGAGATCGTTACGGAGCATTCGAGGTAAATATGCCGCATGACACGTAGGATAAATGGAGCTTTGGCTCTTGCAGCTCAGCAAGGCCGTCAGCTAGGCCAGTCGCTAATCTAATCTTATCCCCTCCGGCTAGACCACTAACTGTGAGCAATAAAGGAGTGAAATAGAAGCCAGCACTGGTAGTCAGCTTAACAATAGTGCTCTAGACCCAATACCCTCGATAGGCGCCACGAGATCGATTAGCCATTGCTACACATATATACAGCTTATATAGATAGCTGATTTGCGGCGCATATTCAGCCACTTTCAACTAAATTATACCAACTCTTACTGGACTTCTGATTCCGTACGTCACTTTCGCCATTCGTCCAGCCTCTTGCTAGCCGTGTGCCTTATCTCATGGATCGTACGCTGGCTTCGTAAATATTAATGTTCGGGCAATTTATGGCCATATTCCGATAAGGTCGATGACAAATTCCATTTTTGCAAATTTCAAGTAGCGCGCAGCACAATATTAATTGCTCATGTGGTCTTTGATAAGATAACGCCTCCGTCATGCCAGACACGAGAGCCTCAGGTGCAGACGCCGCAGACCGAATTTCAAATCTTATCGAATGCAATTTTATGATAGGCCCGGGTGTGGCTCGACCCACAGCGACTTTTCAAAGTTTTTTACTGCTATGTTAAATAGAGTAAATTGAATAAATTATAGCCTATTATAAATGCGCATATACGCGTCATTAAAATATTAAAGAGTATTTAAAGAGTATTTAATGAGTATACATTTAGAATACACTAAAGTCCAGAATATATTTTATGTACAGAAAAAAAAAATTTTAATAAAATTTGATTTATAAAATATCGTTTATATATAGTATTGTTTTGAGCATATTAAACAGTTTTCAATTTTTTGAAAAGGAAATATTATATAGTACAATATATGATAGGCAATAGATTTGTAAAGCTTTCCTTTTTATAAATATATAATAATATTCAGATATTTGAATTCTATTGCAAATAACTTAGCTTTGGCTTTTACAGCACCTGTTTGAACTGAAGGTACTTGAAATGTTTGATAGTCACACTACTAGTGAGAGAATCAGAGAGGCAGAGATATAGGCACTCCTCAAGAGAGCATGATTCAAATGAGAGCATTTTGTAAGTGATTTGCTCACATTGTGCAACACACTGAGCATATCAGAGCGATTGCTCCGCTCGCCTCTGGTGCTGTGCTCTGCAAGCTGTATCCTTATCAGCTAGCAAATGGCGAGCGAAGAGCGCCATCGAGCGCTCTATAAATGGTGCAAAGCACAAATTTTTACTTTTAGTTCTTTGCGGTGTGGCTGGGCGTTTAAATCGCTGTTCCACACAGTCCAAAAAGGCCCTGCAGGAGCCAATCTGCTTAACGTTAAACGCGACTGCTTGAAAATCTGGTGAATTTCGCGTTCACTCGATCTAGGAGCACAATTAACTAGATTCACTCGGTTCCGATTTGGATAATGTGTTGTGGTGTGGCTCTGGCATAAAAATGGTGAGTTGAATTCTTACAAAACTCAAAGAGACCCCATTGACCAGCTGCCCCCTGCCCGAACCACTTGCAAATGCGTAACGATTCCCGGTTTGCCGCCAATGCAATGCAGTAATCGTATTAGTACTACATCATAGTTATTATAGTGGCGGACTTCGTCAACTTCAGGCGGAGAATGTCAGTCTAGGCCGGTACAGAACCAGTTATTTCCAAATAGCGATATGCGCGTCCGTCCATGTGCCCCAACGCGGCTGTTGTATAACGAAATCTCTCTGTTAATCGTTTCGTTTCACTCGCAAAACAAAGGGTACTTGTTCATATTATATGTGTAAGCGTGTCGTACAGCTGGCGATGCTCTACATGTGCCTGGCAACAACAAAAAGGGCGCTAGCTTCTGTTGCAATCTGAGAAATCTAACTGCATATGCAAAAAAAATAAAAAAATAAAAAAAATAAATAAAATTGCGATAAGACTTTCGTAATTTTTGGCAGTCTGAGAAACTTTTTGAAGTAAATTCTGAGACGAGTTCATAGTTCTTTACAAGCGTTACTCTCTCATTGTTCCTAGGGTATCAGTTTATTAAGTTTATTAAGTTACTTATTACAAATGCGCTCTCACAGGCCGTCTGCCGATAAGGTTATCAATTAGCTAGACCACGACACGTATTATGAGATTAATAATGTGCCTCCTAAGCAAATGTGAGTAGGGTTCGATAATGTGAAGGACGATTGAGCACCTTTAGCTTGGCAGTCGACGCCCAGGTGTCCAGCTGCCCCGAGAGCTGATTGCTCACTGCCAAGTTCAAGAGACATTTTCAACATGTTGACGATTCGCTAGACATGCCTTACATATATACATTATATTATGTATATTTAGCCATTTGAAAATCGTATGTATTTGCGGTTGTCTATGAGATATAAAAATAAAATTCAATGACGGACGCTGCGCTTGTTAAGTTTGCTCCGCTTTCCGTGCGACATTGCCAAAAGGCAATAAGAGATGAATAAAAATTAGAAAATTAAATACAAATTAGTGTGTTATCTGCAATTAGCATCCGGGCTCTAAGTGGAAACAGCACTGCTTAATGCTAATTAGTAGGAAGTTTAGAGGGAGGTCCAAGTCCACGTAGATATCTAATCAACGCAAAATCATCTTGGGGTATGTATTGTTAGCAGCAACGGTATTTTGATTATCTACCTCACGCTTATCAGCTGAACAAACTTTATAAATAACCAGCCAGCCAAAATATATTGAATCCAATTTATGTTGATCTAGAGCAAGAAGTCGAATTTCTATGAACAGCCGAAAAGTATGCAACAGTTTCTTTTACTTGGAACAAGTTTTATGTTTTATCATTTAAAATTCAGAAGGTTAGGTTCTATATAAATAATCTAATTGTGTTGTTAAGGTACTAAACTTGCATTATACAGATTCAGCGCTTAAAATAAATATACAAAAAAAAAAAAAAAAAAATCATTTAAAATGATAAATTTCTATAGAACATATTATTCGTGGTTTCTCTATAAATTTTAATTTGACATTAAATATTAATATCTACTCAGTAAATATTTTATTTATATTGACTTGACTTTATTAAAGAACTATTGCATTTTTTCAAATAATTTAATCAGGCTATATTTAACGAAGCTTTACTGTGATCACAGTATACAATATGATATCTATTTATTGGCAAATGCAATAATAGAAATTTTACATTTGCATATTGCGGAAATAAAGGCTTTTTCTATTATTAGAGCAATTAAATAAAATGAAACAGTTGGAAATGCAATTAATTCGTACTTGAATGAATGCAAATCGTGACGGACAAATAAAAAATGTCATGAAAATTTATTAGCAACAGTTGTTGAGGAGGTGAAATTAAGAGAGTGAAATAGAGAGAGAATGAAAGTATTATGATAATGTAAAATATAAATAAATAAATAAATAAATATACTAAGCGTGAAATACAAAATTTACAATGAATATTAGATGAGATCAGAAATGATGATGTACTAATCTCTTTAAGGTGTGATAGTAAAGATGAGATTAAATGTGGAAATTATAATTTTAATTTATAGATCACGCTTAGCTAATCAGCCAGCTCATTTTAGCTGTTAACATACTTCATGTTAATTTATTATTGAATACAAAGTAGTTAAAACGCAAAGATAATGAGTGCACAAAATGAAAAAGTGCACTTTACAGAGCTTACAATGAGTTAATTAATTGCAACATTTATCATTAGCCGAGTGCAGCGAAGTTTAACAGCTGCCAATCAGCTGAAATGACTTGTTGTAGTTCCACGTGTAATTATATAGATGGATTAATAATCAGATTGGAGCTGATTGAGAATTCTCTCGAAACTAATCAACGGCCAATAAAATAATAATAATCGATAATATGAATCGTATATTGTCTGTTTCATTTTGAATTTATTTCACTATATTTTTGGTTGCTAAATGCGTGTTTTGACATTTTGGAAAGTGTGCGAACAAAATCTCGTTTGCCTTAACTAGAGGAGCGCACAGCCAGAGAGCAACAGAGTCATGTACTTATGACTGTACAGCAGCAGCAACAACAGCAACAACGACAGCAACAACAACAATGGCTAAACATAAGCAACAATTAATGAGCAACGGGCAGCGAGACAGCGAGGCAGCGTCCACTTGATTGCCTCGATCTGGCTAGAGCGGTCCAAAGATATATAAATGAGGAAAAGCAACGCACGCGCGTATTAATACATTGGATGTTCGGTTCTAAACGCGCAACGGTCGTACGAATATCGCGCATACGCCGCGTGGCCAATGATTTAAACTGAATATTGACAGTGAATAGTGACAGTGATCGAGGCAATCAAGCAACTAAAAATATGGACACCAGCAGTGACAAGCAGCAGGAGCAACGACTGGGCCATCGCCGCCAGCCAGCGCTGGGCAAGGCCATGCCCGTCACAGCCCTGCTGCTCAATCTGAATCTTGCGCAGAGCAATAGGCCAAGTCATGCACGCAGCGCACCAGCTGGCGCGCTGGACGAGGATGAGCCGCCGCCGCGTTACTTCAGCATAGCCGAGGAGCTGCAGCAGCCGCCGTCGCCCAGCGAGAACAAGGCCGCTGAGCCAGCGCTGCTCGGTGCGGGCAAGCCGGACGTGCCCTGCCTCAACTGCTGCCAGCGAGCGCCGCTGGAGCTGAGTGGACCCGGTCTGGCCATCAACGAGATGTGCCAGCGCCTGTGCAGCGATGAGTGTCGACGCGGCCTCAGCTTGACTGGCTGCCTGGCCACACAGGATGCCGAGCAGCTGCGGCAGGATTTCCTGAAGCAATATGAAATTGCGGAAGCGCTGGCCAAGACCTCGGCAATGACCTCGACTACGCAAATGAAACAGCGTCTCGCCGCACGCAAACTGGAAATGGATATCGAGACGCAGGCGGCAGCCGCTTCCACTGAGCCAGCCTGGCTAACCACACCCAGCGACAAGGCAGCAACAACAACAGCTGCTGCTGCTGCTGGCGTTGTTGTTGCTGCTGCTGCTGCTGCTGGAGACACGTTGCCGCCAATCGCTGATAATGAGCAGCCGCCGCCGCGAGATTTGCTGTTGTATCTTGTGAGGTGAGAGATAAATGCGAGCAGGCGTGCTCCACTCAAAACTTGTTGCTGCTGCTGCTGCTGCTGCTGCTGCTGCTGCTGCTAGCCAGCGGCTATTGCGTTTATATATCAAGTTCATGGCCAATGCTGACAGAGTGTCAAGTGTTCTTAGCCACTGTGAGGCCCCAATCCACTTGGCTTCAATCAACAATAACATAACTAACCTTGCACAATTCGTGCGAAATGCGAAAATGTATCTATCTGTATAGGCCACACTTACAAGAGCTCTGGCAGCTCTAATCGATAAGTGAGCGAACAGAAGCGAACAGCGCTTGATAATGAGCTATTGTGTCTCTTACAGCTATGCACAATTGTATCGATAGATAGCTGAAAACGAAGCATTTGTCGTTTTATAAATACCTTTAGATATATTGCATGATAATTGCTGATTTGAAGCGAATCTCTTCTTGAGCTTGAAATTGCAGTTTTATATTTCCTTCACAAACAATTTAAATTGTTGTTGTGTTAAATGCAGAATAACTTCGTTGACTTTGCAGTTATCTAGCTGCTCAGAATCTAATTTTAACCAGCGATTAGATAGCGGCAAATATTTACGGCACTTAGATATAAATTTATATAGTCCAAGCGCACTTAAATGGGTTTGTTAAAATGTATGCAACAGGCTGCAGCAGGCGTGGCTGATCCCATAAAGTATATTTGTATAGCAAAGCTGTCTGGTATTTCTTATGATAAAACTATATTTTAGTAGATTTACATAGTACGAATACAAGTTTACTTTGTATGAATAGCTAGGATTTTGGATGCCTCGCCCACTTTCTCAGACACATCCTAATGATTTATTAGTTGACATATAACCACATCTGGATGTCATTATTAAGCTTAATGGAAAAGTGTATTTAGAAAGAAAAATATAAGTCAATGTTTACATTCTCATAGTTCAGTCCATAAGTGCAGCTGTTGCTCAGTGAGCTGCGTATGGATGCTCTTCATGCTGTAAAGAAAATGAAAAATGACTGAAATAGTAATTATAGCAACTTTACTTGGAATTAAATGGTCTGTCTGTATACAATAATCTTTAAAAACTTTTATATATACTTTACAATGTTTATCGTTGTTTAATTGCTCGAGTGTCAGCCCCTACAGCTACATATTAATATATACATTTTTCATGAATTGAAATACTGCTTCATATATAAAATGTCAGACTTTTTTTTTTTTTTTTTTTTTTTTTTTTAGTGCACTAGACAAAAATTGTTTCCCTATAAGGAAAATATTTGATTTAAATATATATTATATATATATATAATGAAATTCATATTCATATTTCTGTTTAAATATGTTTATATATGCTTCTATAATTTCAAACTGTAAATGAAATGGAAATAAATGAAACACAAAGTAGTAATGCAAATAATTAATTAAAAAAAAAAACTTTTTGTTTAATATATATGAAATATATTTTAATATTCTTATTTAGGCGAATCTCAAGCGTTTTTTTTTTTTTTTTTTTTTTTAATTCCTTAATTTTCTATATAAGTTCTATTATTAATGTTTTCATAATAAATGAGGACGGGTAGAATTTTTAATCGAACTGGTTTAAGTTAATTCAGTGTTTGATTTCGACAATCTATATATGATAATATACTATCTGAACTTAGTATGCAGCCGCAGCTGCGTGTCAACACACAAATTGGCGATTTTGAGAGCTGGTCACGTGGCTAACGATAGCAATGGGTGTCTGGTATTTGAGTGTCTGCTTTTCTGTATCTATTATGCATTGCAAGTGGTTCGACATGTACAAGTCCCTCCGTCCCACTGTCGCGCAGCTAATCGACTAATCAACTAATGCTTATCCCATAATTCTACTCTATTCTTTTTAGGAAATGCAGCTTGAACCGCGTCTCTTTGACATTGCCATATTGACACTAAATATAAAACATTTCAAGTTAACCTAGTGCTAAAAAAGCTGAAGCAGCTAAAGCCCAAATCGAAATTAAATTTAAATCTTAATCCAATCAAACCGATTTACAGTTAAAAGACGTTTACTTAATTAACTCTATCAAGAATAAGGCGTACAAACCCCAAGCAAAATGGAGTTCTTAATGAAAACATCGCGTTTGATTGTCACCGCGAAGACTTTTGCGCGTCGTGTGGCGGTGCCCATACCCAGGTAACATAAGAAAGAAACGATACAGTATCTTTAAGTGGCAGATACTTGGGTCGGATTCATTACGCATGTAACTGCGTTGTTGTATAAATTGCGCTCGTCTATCCCACATTCAAATATCTGTATCTGTGTATCTTTCGCCTGCAATATATGTTCTCAGATATTCTGAAAATGCGCATTTCTGTCTGGCTGCTTGCCTTGTCTGTCCGTCTGCCCGTCTGTCTGTCTCTGATTTGCATGCGCGCACAAATTTGTTTAGGCATAAATCAGTTTGGCCATTAGAGTCATGCCCAGCGTCCGTCCAGTCGTATTGGAAAAAGATACTTTTGTTTTTTGATTACAATACGAAACGAAAGTGAGACAATGGCGTGCAGCTCCATGTGAATGTATCTACATAAAGAATGCTACGCATAAATATTTACCAAGCTGCCAGCTAGCGATGTGGCTCAGGCGATTCTTGCTGTTCTTGTTCTTATTCGTATTCTTATTGTTGTTGTCATAGTTGTTGTTGTTGTTGTTGTTGTTGTTGCCTTTATTGTTACGCTGCTCATTTTTCGCGCAACTGAGCAACGCACGTGAGTAGAACGTATTGATCTTGTTCTGTATCTTGCAGATACATCTCACTTTATGTGCGCTCGACGCGATCTCTGTGTATGTGTGTGTGCATTAGTGTGCGTGCGTGTGTGTACGTTGAAATACTCGTTTATGCGTGCTTGCTCTCTTTCTCTATCTCTCGATCCCTCGCCATCTCCCTCACACACACACTCTCTTTGTCGCCCTGCCTCGCTCACGCTCTTCTGCTGCTCTGCCTGGCTGATCTCTAATAAAACGCCGCACTTCAGTTGCCATTCAGTTTCGCAAATGTCGCTTACAAGCGCACTTCGCACAATTTTCGGCATAACCCACAATCCAAACCAAATTCACCCAATTCCCAGCCACCGACACCGCCAACAGCAGCACCACATCTCGCTACAGCCGCATCTCGCTACCGAATCTGTTAGCCACATGGAGCAAGCGATGCAATTGAAACGCGCCAACAAGGCGCCCTGCAAGAACGACCGCAAGGCCTTCCTGCAGAGGGTGATGCTGACCAGGTGAGACTGAGAGTCACCAATCTATTGATTGATTGCGTTGCCAAAACGATCCCAACTGGTTTCTAACCGCTGGCCCGAAAACCAGCTAAACAGCTGTAGAGCTATTGACCGAGCGACATTTTTTCTTGATTTTTTTATTTTTATTTTTTTTTTTTTTTTAGTCTTTTCTTATTCGTTTTACTCTTGCTGTTTTATTTATTTATTTTTTAAGCCGCATGCGTCGTCTTGACTTGTCCGAATCGGTTCGTGTGGGTGGGCATGAATCGAGTTCTCTAGCTTGTGAAAGCTGCGCGCGCGTTCGTTTAGTCCGAGCTTATTACTTACTCAGATTTTTCTCAGCTGAGACCGAAAATTATGATGCTCATAAAGTTTACGATCCTCGTAACAGCAGCAGAATAAAGAATCACAACTTTCTGGATAAGAGAAACACAAATATCATGTTCGATACGAAACCTCAGTAACAAATCATTTAGACTGCAACTAATATCTAAATTTCATTATATTCCAAAACTTTCAATTCAATTTGCCCATTCCAATGCAAAGACAGAAGTAAATATTACTAAATACCAAATGGAACAAATGTTCTATTATTGTAAATTACAGAATGAGCTCTACAGTTTGGTATAGAAATTAAAAATAATATATATAGTTTTGTTTATAGAATTTGTTGCTAAATTCCTTAAATCGAAATTCATTCATGATCCCATCAAATTTCAAGTTTTCGAAACATTCTTCTTAAGATTAAATTAAATGTTTTCTTTCAGCAGAGTTGAAAGTTCTATGGCAGAGTTCAACGTTAGCAAAAGGCATAGTCACAGCTTATTTATTTTCAGCATAATTCTACGAAAGATTCTGTATAGAAAACCGAAAGAGCTGTGAGTATCGTTGATCAAATTGTTTACGAAAAATGCTGCAATGCTGTAAAGATGCCAATTGTTGCTGTTATTGTTTCTTGTTCTTCTCTCATTTTATTTTCTTTTCATTATTTTTTGCTGTCATGGGTGCTGCTATTATTATTATTGCTGTTATTATAGTTCAATATTATGTTTCGAAGTAATTTTGAATATTTAGTCTAAATGTTCCGCATCAGCAATGAATTTCTTAGATATGACGTTGTTTAAATTTTAATTGAAGTAAACAAAAATGTCTTATTTTGTTTATATTTGCAATGTTTTTCACGTTTCATCCTAGGATGGGCTCGTTCAACTCGGCGCCCAAGATAAACAATGTGGACTCACAAGACGATGGCCTGGAGCTGCCCAAGGGCCTCAGCACTGATGCACTGCTCGACCATGTGCGACAGCTGCACGGCTCAGGCGTGGTGAAGCCCTCGCTGCTCAGCCGCTGCTTCCTTAAGCCCCCCCTGAACAGCGACGACGTGACCGACGGCCTGCGTTGCCTCCAGTTGAACTCCGTCTCACGTGGTAAGCTCACACAAAGCAATCGCCCTCCCAGCTGTTACTCACATCTCCTTCCCATCCACACACAGTTTGCAGTGCTCCCAGCGATGGCGCGCAGCACATTCGATTGCTGCAGTGGAACATTCTCTCGCAAAGTAAGTACAACATATGAAATGAAATTTTATAAAAATTTTAATTTTAATAAAATAAATTAAATAAATAAAAAAATTGAAAATGAAAGAAATTTAAATTATATTATTATTATTATATAACGTATGCTATTTACTTACAGTTTTAATTTTTTTTTTTTTTTTTTTTTTCATTAATTTTATTAGATAATAATCAGTTCATTTATATTCTCTTAAAAACTTAAGAACGTGATCAATTTTATTTATTTATCGAATACATGCAGAATTCGACGAAGTGACTAAAAATAAATATTTATTTCATCAATATCTTAAAAATAAAATAAATTACATTTTGTAAGTAGTAGTTATAGATAATGCAATCGAAATTCTTCATACATATAAATATTTTATAATTTTTGTCTCCATTTAATGCTAATCATAATATCCGTAAATCTATTCGCAGCTCTCGGCCAGCACAACGATGGCTTTGTGCGTTGCCCCGACGAGGCTTTGACCTGGCAGCATCGCAGGTACTTGATCGTGCAGGAGATTCTGCAAAATCAGCCGGATGTTGTTTGTCTGCAAGTATTTATTTGTGCCCGGAGTTAGGTGGAATGCAGTCGCGCTTTAACATCTCGTTTGCTTTTTGTACCCTGCAGGAAGTGGATCATTTCAAGTTTCTGCAGACTGTGCTGGGCAGCCAGAACTATGACGGCATCTTCTTTCCCAAGCCGGACTCGCCCTGCCTGTACATAGAGGAGAACAATGGCCCCGATGGCTGTGCCATCTTCTACAAGCGCGACAAGCTGCAGCTCCTTGGCTACGACACACGCATCCTGGAGGTGTGGCGCGTGCAGAGCAACCAGGTGGCCATTGCCGCGCGGCTGCAGCTGAAGGCCAGCGGCAGGGAGTTCTGTGTCTGCACCACCCACCTGAAGGCACGCCACGGCGCTCTGCTGGCCAAGCTGCGCAACGAGCAGGGCCGCGATCTGATACGCTTTGTCAAGCAGTTCGCCGGCGAGAGTCCGCTGCTGCTGTGCGGCGACTTCAATGCGGAGCCCATTGAGCCCATCTATGCGACGATTCTCAGCTGCGATCTGTTCAAGCTGGGCAGCGCGTATGCGGACATTAAGCTGGAACGGGAACGGGAGCGGGAACGAGAAGATCAGGAGCAGCACACGGCCAGCTGCGACGATCCCAATGAGCTCATTGCGCAGTCCATCAAGCGCGAGCCTCCATACACCACCTGGAAAATTCGCGAAGATGGCGAAGAGTGCCATACCATTGACTATGTGTTCTACACGCCGCAGCAGCTCAAGGTGAGTGGGCGTGGCAGCAACGAAAAAAAATAAAATATGCTTTAATCTTCAATAATGTTTTGCAGATCAAGAACTGCCTGGAATTTCCGGCCGGAGAACAGATCGGCAAAAATCGTACGCCCTGCTTTGAATATCCTTCGGATCATTTTTCGCTCGTCTGCGACTTTGAGCTGCTCGATGCGCCCCTTTCGGAGGACAAAAGCAAACCGCATGGCACCATACAGTAGAGCTTGTCAGTGCACGCACACAGCTACACAAACACACACACACACATACAGCAATTACATAATAAATTGTGATATTAGCTCTTAGATACATTTTTAGCCATCTATACACATGTACGTACGATCCATACTATATATGAGCGTAGCACGGCAAAGCTTGCTAAGGCGAGACATTAATACAGATTTCATCAATAAACGAAAGTAACTTTGTAGGAATCGTCGTCGTCTGTCTATAGATTGTATATTAAACTATAAAATAATTGGATTTCGATTTCATTTTTGATAACACGAAAGCAGGGGAGATTCTCACATTAAATTGTACAAGGATTCTGGCTGGAATTTGATATTAGTGTTTCTCTATACATTATTAACTTTAAATATTATAAAATGTCTATTTAACTGTAAGCTTCATAGTGTATCCATTTTGTGAATAATAATTATTAATAACTGTGTGGAGTCACCGAATCTGAACTTATTTACCAGGAGAAAAGCCAGAAAATTTGGTTTCCCTATAGAATAATTTATGGTCTATCGTATTATAGACATAAGAGATTAGCCAGAATTATGTTGTATATATGTATATAGACTAATTGGATATATGTTTATATACCTCTGCTAATCAAGCATCGAATCTGACTTTGGGCTGGCCAAATCAGACCACTTAATCCAATGGAAAGCGCTCTATCATAGTATCCTCTCTTTTATAGACAAATCAATTTGTTGTATATTGGGACCCACAAAAATATGTCCACAAAGGTGGACAGTAGTCCAGCACTGGATCTACTACATATTGAAAATGCAACAATAGATATTAATATTACATGCGTGAAGGTTCCACAGGCCTTGCCTGGGACTGTTGAAAGCAGCCATCAATTCCCGTTTAATATATTATCGTATGTTCAATATGTTATATAACTTGCAGGGATGACTTAGCGCTGACTCGTAACCTATAGCATCGGTAGTCTATTTTGATGTGATATTTGCACTCACAGATGCTGTCAACTGATATTGGTATAGATCACCTGAATCATTCTTGTATATTAACACTTCTTGAAACTGCCTCAGCAAATCCATAAAATCATTTAGGGATTACCCGTGTTATATAAAACATATACATCAAGTGATTTGAAATCGACTGTGGAAGTAGTCGCACATCAGAATACAAAAACTTCCATTACAGCACAGATTTGAATTTGTTCGTATTTATTGTGACGTCATTTTCTCACAATGTTGCACAGCCACAAGCATAGTCCATGTCGATGGTAGAATGCTTGATATCAAGCCTCAGCTTCGGCACAAATTTAGTAAGCTAATAGCACAAAACACGATATCTGGCAAATTGCGCTGACTAGAATGAACTGGTGATGTTGATGTTGTTGCATAACAGAGCAAAATGCAGATACAGATATTATAAATAAACTGTACATGTATTATGCATTTAACAAATAGACATGTTCGCACTAAAATTTAACTGGGCCCACGCTGCGTCTAGAGAAGCGCCAGGATGGCGGTTAGCACGAAGGAGGTGGCAACCATTACATAACCGGTGGAATAGACCTCTTTGATTTTGAGGAAGCGGCCAGTGTCCCAGAGCAGATGGCGGACGCCGTTGGCGGCGTGGTAGCCAAACGGATAGGCGAGAATGAACTTGATGGCGGTCAGGGAGGCGCCGCTTAGCTGGAGACCCTCCACCATGGTGACGTAGTGGCTGATGTCTTGAGACGCGACCAGAGCGCCAATGCCCAAGCCCCAAACACCGAGGCCCAGGACCAGGCCGGTGCCGCGGTGCATGACGGACAGTAGGGAGGTGAGCTGCGGCTTATAGATGGTCAAGTGGGGTGACATCTCGCGGCCCAGACGTTGGTTTTTCTCAAAGAAGGTCTCATCCTTGATGGTTGAGCCGACAGAGACAACCTTCAGTGAGACCTGACGATTCGCCGCGGCCATTTGTAGGCCTTGGCGGAGCGCGGATGAGCGCACAAGAGAGCTGCTGAGAGCATACCTAGAAGATTTACAGTTAATTTTTTTTTTCCAAAAACGTTGGCGATGGATGAAATACGCACATTCTGTTTCTTTTCGCTTAAAACTTGCACGCAGTGTGGCAGCACTTCGCACACGAAAAAATACCAATACAATTGATATCGCTGCACAATACAAATATATCGATAGCTCAGTTTGTAGACATTTAATTGTAGAAAAGTGATATTCTTTTTGGTGATATTTCAAATAAATCCAAATTATTTTTACTAAATATAAATGAAAAATATCAGTCGGCATATAATGAGGCGCCAGCCAGCAACGTCAACAATCAGGTACAGCAGGTGCTCTTACTTGCGTCAGCGACTCAATTTTGCGCTTTTTATATTCTGCTGCGTGTTGCAGCCTCAGTGCTATGAAACTAATCTTTCGCACAAACGGCTGCAATGAGCGCGGCTCCACGGCCCGAACCATCTTCAGACAGAACCAACTCAAATCTTACAGTGCCATTCAGCAGTAAGTTCATATTTTGCATTAACAACCTATGGTAATGGGGATGAAACCGATAAACACTACCATCAATACCCACTGCCAAGTCCTTGACATTCATTTTCCTGATCAAACAGACCAGTCCACAGGCTGCCAATTTAGCGGAACGCGTGGATATAGTTTCACATATGTAGCGCAGGCACATTAAATCCTTTTCGTTGGAAGTTCTAATGCCCAGATTATCCATTACCATTGCAGCATTGCGAAACTTTCCCGGCTCGTCGGACTCGATCTCCGTTATAAAACGAGTATCAAATTTGCCTCTTTGCTGAAGGGTCTGTGACTTCACTCCCTTGAAAATCACGTCCCTGTCCATCAACTCCACCAAAATGTAACGCACCAACTCTCCCATGTACATGCCAGAGATGCACTTCTCGTAAATCTGTTTCTTGGGATTCATGGAATGACTGTCCACCTCAACATCGTAGCGAGTGCGCACAAAGTCCAGTACGCCATTGTCCCCGAAAGCGCCCCACTCGCAGTTGATGATCATATGGGGCTTCGGGCTGTTTTGGTATCCCGGAAACATTTCCACATTCGATGTTTTCTCCACGTAGCAGGCGTTACTGCCCGTGCCCACAATCATTCCGATTTTGCAATTCTGGCGAGTAAATGCGCAGGACATCAAAGTTCCCGTCGTATCGTTGAGAATGGCCACGACTTGGACCTTAAGGTCGCCTCGACGCGTGATAGCTTCACGAAGCAACTCAACGACGTTCTTGTTAACCACTCCATCAGCCTTGAAGCCCTTCGTCCAGGCGACTAGAGTGCCGTTGTCAATACCTAGCTGCTTGCACGGAAAAGAGAATGTGAAGCCAAGAGACAAATTAGCATTTTCGAGCTTATGATCTTTGCAAAAGTCAGATAGACACTGCGCAATAAAGTCGAATAGTTTGACGCCAGAGCCTTCCATTAACTCCTTGCTAATGCCGTAGGTCTTGCCATCAATATTAACAGTGGATTCGGACTCTAACGTGACCAATAGGACTCGAAAGTTGGTTCCTCCAAGATCCAGCGCCAGGTATCTTCCTCTCTCCCGGCCAGTGGGCAGGTCTTGAACGTACGTTACAAAGCATTTTATTGTAGCTCGTGAATGCGTATCTTTTGCAAGACCCATAGAGATTTCCCTGGTCATCCGCAGAATAATTTCCTCCATTTTGTGTTGATCTATCTCGAACTGCTGACAAATTTTATAAGCGTCGGGGTAAAGTGTCCGTACTTCATCCATGGCCACGGTATATCCAAGGAAGAGGGCGCTCTGTCAGCTACTTTAAATTTAGATTTTTTGTTTGCTTATGTGATTTTTAACTAAAACAAAATTTAAGACAGATGTGACATTTTATATTTACGTTGAGTCCGACTGCCGACTCAGTCGAGTAGTTTCAAAGTAACTTGCTTTTTAAATAGTGTAATTAAAAATAAGACCACGAGACTCCATGTGGAGTTATCCTCTATAAAAAATTCTATCTTAAAAAGTCGACTGACTGACTATAAAAAATTACTTAAAAGTGGTCACTTCTAAAAACGAGTGATTTTAACTGGATTTTCGGATGGCCAAGCTATTACTATGTGGTATTCCTCGATTTGCCAGGCCCCAGTAGGCTTTAATCTTTAATCGATCTGTAGAGGAGGTTAGTTAAGTCTGCAGGACTGAAGTTGAAAAGGCAGACGATAGTCACGCCAATTGGCACATCTCAATGCCCATTGCTATATATTTCCAGCTATCACATATGTACATATTATCCGATTTCCAAGTTCCAAACCCCAATTTTTGAGTACAAAATAGCTCAGTCAGAACATTTTATGATGAGCTTGTGTACAGAGGCTGTCTGCTATATGGATGAGTCTGCAGCCAACTGGCTGCTATGAAACTATAAGAGTAAGGCATTTTGAATAAGTTGAAGCGTTGAGGTATCGAGTAGTTTTTTAGTTAATTAATTCTTAAATACAAAAACAAATCAAGTGCGATTTTATGGGTTCCATTAATGTGTTACAAAGCATATACCAACTGCGATGGTTCTGTTATAAAAATACTTAAAAGTCGATATATTTTTGAAGCAAGTCTTTGAGTCTTGAAGTCTTGAATATCAAAAGTGCCTGAATGTCCAAACAACTTTCTGGATAAAGCGGCGCACTGTTGGCATGCTTGCTGGGGCCGATGCTTTTAGAGGACATGAACTTGATTGTTTTTCTGTCGACAAGGCTTTCGGACATGAACTTGATTGTTTTTCTGTCGACAAGGCTTTCGGTGGACTCGGTGGACGTCTAGTGTAGACGGCAGCAGTTAAAGCTGCGCCACGACCCGAACCATCTTTGGAAAGATTCAGCTTAAATTTTGCCGAGTCCTTCAACAGTAATTTCATATTTTCCATTAACAGTCTATGATAATGCGGATGAAAACAATACACACTGCCATCAATGCCCACTGCTATGTCCTTGACTTTCGTTTTCTTGATCAAAGAGACCAGTCCACACGCTGCCAGCTTGGCGGATCGTGTGGATATCGTTTGGCATATGTGGCGCAGACAGAGTAAATCCTCCTCGCTAGTTCCTCTGACGCCTAGCTCATCCATCACTTTGCAGGCGTTGCGTACTTGGCCCGGCTTGTCGGACTCGATTTCACTTAAAAAGCGAGTATCAAACTTCTCCCTCTCACGAAGAATCTGAGACGTTGCATCCTTGAAGAGGACGCCCTTGTCCATCAGCTCCACTAAAATGTGGCGCACCAGCTCGCCCATATACTTACCAGAGATGCACTTCTCGAACACCTGTTTTGTGGGATATAAGGACTCCCTGTCCACTGCCTTATCGTAGGAAGTGCGTACAAAATCTAGCTCACCATTCTCTCCAAACGCGCCCCACTCGCAGTTGATGATCATATGGGGTTTTGTGCTGGTCTGATATGCCGGAAACATTTCCACGTTTGACGTTTTCTCCACGTAGCAGGCGTTTGTTCCTGTGCCTAAAATCATTCCGATTTTGCAATTCTGCTTCTGAAAAGCGCAGGACATCAAAGTTCCCGTCGTATCGTTGAGAATGGCGACAATATCGACTTTGAGGTCGCCTCGACGGCTGATGGCTTCTCGAAGCATTTCAACAACGTTCTTGTTAACCACGCCCTCAGACTTGAAGCCTTTCGTCCAAGTAACCAGAATTCCTTGATCAATACCAATATGTTTGCATGGAAAGGAAAATGTGAAACCAAGGGGCAAATTGTCATTTTCTATTTTGTGCTCCTTGCAAAACTGGGCTATGCTCTCGGCAAGAAAATCAAATAACTTTATTCCCGGGCCTTCCATAATTGCCTTGCTAATGGCATATGTCTTGCTGATTACATCAATTTCCTTTGCGGAAATTAAGTTAGCTAATAGTACGCGAAAATTCGACCCACCAAGATCCAGTGCTAGGTACCTTCCCCTTTCGTTGCCAGTGGGAAAGTCTTGCACGCAGGTCTGGAAGCATTTTATCGAAGCAGTGGAATGTGTCTGCTTTGCAAGACCCATATAGATTTCATTGGTCATAGCTTGAACAATTTTTCTCATTGCCCCTTCGTCCAGCTCGAACTGTCTACAGATTTCGTAAGCTTCTGGAAATTTCTTCTCTAATTTACCCATCGCCATCGCCCAGATGCCTTAGCTTGATTAGACGTAGAATTTGTTGAGCTTTTTCAAAATATAAATACATAATTCTTTACCGAGTGCTTAGATTGTCATATGAATGTACAAACATAATTATATCCCGACGTGAAAAAAACAAGGGCAAACTTTAAAAGGACAAGAAAGCAAAATTAGATATTTTATAAAAAATGTATATTATATCAGAATTATACAAAAACACAAGCTACGTAATGACTATTTTCTTCTGTTTGAGTGTTGATGTTAGACCAGCAACAATAGCAGCACCCACTCCTGGACTATCATCCGAGTTGATGAGCTCAAATTTATTCTGGGGATCGGTCAGCAGTAGGGTATACTTATTAAGACTCTCTTGGTAAGTGGGATACAGTCGATATACTCCACCATCAACAGCAATTTTAATCTTGGGGTAGTTCATCCGATTGATCAGACAGGCTAAACCAGCAGCTACCAGCTTGGCGGAGCGGATTCCAACTATCTTGCATATGAATCGTAAGGTGGCCAAATCACGTTCATTGCAGTTATGAATACCGAATTTGTCCATGACCTTCTGAGCTTGTGTATAAACATTTGGTGGATCTGACTCGATATCCACAATCGACTTCATTTCCATTTTCCATTCAATGCCGATATAGGCCATGCTCACACCTTTAAAAATGACTCCCATATCTATTAGACGCACGACTATTAGGCGCACCAGTTCACCCAAATTCAGGGTGCTGATGCATTTCTCAAAATACTTCATGCCCGGATTGTTGGAGTTCGCATCGATAATCTTGTCGAACTCAGTGCGCACAAAGTCCAAGTGGCCGTTTGAACCAAAATTGCCCCAATCAGTGTTGACGATCATCAGCGGTTGCTTTGACTCCTCTTCCATCCTTTCACATGCTTCAGCCCGCTCCACATAGGCGGCATTTGTGACTAATCCCACTATAAGACCCATTTTACAATCGGAACAAGACCAGGCGAGTGCCATCAGAGAACCGGTAGAAATGTTAACAATCGAGTTCAGGTTTATTTTTACATCCTCGTACTCATCCAAGGCGTTCCGTAGTAGCTGCACCACATTCTTGCCAATGGCGCTTTGAGCACCGTACCCCTGAGTCCATCTGATCAGAATGCCCACATCCAGCGATAGCTGGTTCAGGTCGAAAGCGAATGCAATTCCCATGGGCAAGTTATCCTTTTCCACTTTTTTAGCTCTGACAAATATTGCAATATTCTGCGCTAAAAAATTAAAAAGTGTAGTGCCCCGCGATGCGGCTATCGTATGTGGTATGATAACGCATTTAGAGCTCATGTAGATGTCATTCTCACTGCTGAATTTGACCAGCATAATACGGCAGTTGGAGGGCCACATCTCTAAGGCAAGGAAACGACCTCGTTCATCTCCCGTCGGCAGCTGCTGCACATAACTCAGCCAAGAGGGTATGGAGGATCGACTATGGGTATCCTTGCCCAGACCGTTCAGTAATTCACGCGTCATTGAGTTCCGGATGGTTATCAGAGCGTCCTCGCTGAGCATAAACGGCTTTAATATTTTCCATGCCTCCGGAAAGTCAGTTTCAGGATCATATTTCTGCATTTTCGAGAAAAAAAACGTGAATTTTGGATAAATTATTATTATTATTATTTTCTCTTCTGTATATATATATATATATATTTTTTTTTTTTCTTTTGTATTTTTCAATTGAGCACAATATTTTGCATTGAGTAATATTTTGTAATATATTTACAGTTTGAAAATGATTAAAAAGCAAAAAGTGTTGAAGAAAATTGCTTGATTGAATTCATAAACAAGCCCGAGTAGGGGTGGTCCAATCTCCGACTGATCTACGTTTCGTCACTGTCAACACCATCACTTTACTGCTCTAACACCACTTGCAACATTTGAAATAGAACTTCTTTCACAATCCATGCCAGTGTGTACTTCATTTTAAACAGAACCAATGAGGGCTAAATGAAAATAATGTACGACTTTTATAAAATATTAAGTATATTTGTGCATGTTAAAAGCATTTAACAATTTGTTCAGAATTTAATCAATACTTTCAATGACTTTTACTTTCGATGCTATACCAGCTACGATAGCAGCACCCACTCCTGGGCTGTCTTCTGAAATGACATACTTAAATTTGTTGTGTGGGTTGGTCAGCATTAAGGTATACTTGTTAAGGTGTATCTGGTAAGTGGGAAACAAGCGGTATACACCTCCATCGACAGCAATCGAAATGTTAGGGTAGTTCATCCGATTGATCAGGCAGGCTACACCCGCGGCTACCAACTGGGCAGAACGGAGGCTGACTATATGGCATATGAACCGTAACGTTGCTAAGTCTCGTTCGCTGCAATTTCGGATACGAAACTTTTCCATGACTAACTGCGCACTTGTATAAACATTAGGTGGATCCGATTCGATAGCCATTATCGATTTCATCTCCATTTTCCATTGAATATCAAAGTAGTCCATGCTCGCCCCCTTAAAAATGACTCCCATTTTCATTAGACGCACGACTATAAGGCGCACAAGCTCGCCCAAATACAACGTGCTGATGCACTTCTCATAAAACTTCATGCCCGGCTCACTGGACACTGCGTCAACTAACTTGTCGAACTCATTGCGTATGAAGTCCAAATGGCCATTGGCTCCAAAGTTTCTCCACTCTGTGTTGATGATCATCAAGGGTTGTTTTGTATTCCCTTCAAACATTTGGCACGCATCAGTCTGCTCCACATAGGCGGCATTTGTGGATGTGCCTACGATCAAGCCGATCTTACAGTTGGGATACGACCAGGAAAGCGCCATCAGTGTGCCGGCGGAGATGTTGACAACTGAATTCAAATTGATGCGTATATCCTTGTACTCATCCAACGCGTTCTGCAGCAGCTTCACAATGTTTTTGCCCACCGCGCCTTGAGCACCATAGCCCTTGGTCCATCTAACCAAAATACCCACATCGAGGGCTAGCTTGTTGAGCTCAAAAGCGAACGCAATTCCCATTGGGAGATTATCCTTCTCAACCTTTTTATCTCTCACAAATATCGCTATGTTATGGGCCAGAAAGTTAAAGAGCGTAGTGCCCCGCGATGCGGCTACTGTATGGGGCACTATGACGCACTTGGAGCTCATGTAGACGTCCCTTTCGCTGCTAAACTTGACCAGCATAATGCGGCAGTTGGTGGGCCACATCTCCAGGGCAAGGAAACGCCCTCGCTCGTGCCCTGTCGGCAAATTCTGTACGTAACTAAGTAAACAGGGTATTGAGGATCGTGCGTGCATGTCTCTGAGCAGACCGTTCTGTAATTCGCGTGACATTGAGTTTCGGATGGATATCAGAGTCTCGTTGCTGAGCATAAATGGCTGTAATAATTTCCACGCCTCTGGAAAGTCTATCTCGGGATCATATACTTCCATCTTATTCAAAAAAATATTTACGGGAAATTTTGATTCTGATTCTGGAAAGTTATGCTGTATTGTCTGCCTTTTTATAGTGTTGAATGAAACAAACAATTTTGGTTCAAATATATTTTGAAGTTTATTTAATTGATAATTTCGTATTAGTTAGTTGTACTCGTTGACGATCGAAAAAATTTGGTAAATCTGAAAAGACGGTACTGTTAATTACTGATTTAACTGCCCATTTTTGGCGTATTATTCCCTAATCTTTGAAGGTTATGGTTCTTATTAGGAACTGAATTCAGAATTAGCAATTAGGAATTCATTAGGAACTTTAGTTAGGAGCACATAAATGGACGGACGGATTTTAGCTAACTCAACTGGACTGACGGAGGCCTAATATCTAGTAGGTTAGCTTTTTTAAAAACTCTGATTACTTGAATCGCTGAAGTCAAAGCGCACAATTTCAAATAACTATGTAATATGTGGATGTATTAAAGTAGTTCAATATTCAATATCAGGATCAAAAATTTTACATGAAAACGTCTTATTTGGATGATAATGTTGATGCTAGACCAGCCACAATAGCAGCACCCACTCCTGGACTGTCTTCTGAGGCGATGATTTCAAATTTGTTGTGGGGATTTGTCAGCATTAAGGTATACTTATAAAGGTTCTCCTGGTAAGTGGGATACAAGCGATATACACCACCGTCAACCGATATAGAAATCCGGGGGTAGTTCATCCGATTGATCAGGCAGGCTAAGCCAGCAGCTACCAGCTTGGCGGAGCGGAGGCCGACTATCTTGCATATGAAGCGTAAAGTGGCCAAATCACGTTCATTGCAGTTATAAATACCGAATTTGTCCATGACCTTCTGAGCATTTGTATAAACGTTTGGTGAATCTGACTCAATAGCCAAAATCGACTTCATTTCCATTTTCCATCGAATTCCTATAGACTGCATGTTTGCACCCTTAAAAATGACTCCCATATCTATAAGACGCACAATTATAAGGCGCACCAGTTCACCCAAATTCAGTGCGCTTATGCATTTGTCATAATATTTCATGCCCGGATTGTTCGACTCATCATCAATTATCTTGTCGAACTCAGTGCGCACAAAGTCCAAGTGACCGTTGGAACCAAAATTGCCCCAATCAGTGTTGACGATCATCAGGGGGTATTTTGTATCCTCTTGAAACCTTTCGCACTCGTCAACATGCTCCACATAGGCGGCATTTGTGGTTAATCCAACAATAAGGCCGATTCTACATTCGGGACAAGACCAGGCGAGTGCCATCAGGGAACCGGTGGAGATATTAACAATTGAGTTCAGGTTTATTTTTACATCCTTGAACTCATCCAAGGCGTTCCGTAGTAGCTGCACCACATTCTTGCCAATGGCGCATTGAGCACCGTACCCCTGAGTCCATCTGATCAGAATGCCCACATCCAGCGACAGCTTGTTCAGGTCGAATGCGAACGCAATTCCCATTGGAAGATTGTCCCTCTCAACTTTTTTTGCTCTGACAAATGTTGCAATATTATGGGCTAAAAAGTTAAAAAGCGTAGTACCACGAGATGCAGCTATCGTATGTGGTATGATAACGCTTTTGGAGCTCATGTAGATGTCATTCTCACTGCTGAATTTGACCAGCATAATACGGCAGTTGGAGGGCCACATCTCTAAGGCAAGGAAACGACCTCGTTCATCTCCCGTCGGCAGCTGCTGCACATAACTCAGCCAAGAGGGTATGGAGGATCGACTATGGGTATCCTTGCCCAGACCGTTCAGTAATTCACGCGTCATTGAGTTCCGGATGGTTATCAGAGCGTCGTCGCTGAGCATAAACGGCTTTAATATTTTCCACGCCTCCGGAAAGTCATTTTCGGGATAGTACCTCGTCATCTTAGGGAAAGAACAAGTGTGTAAACCGGGAAATTTGTACACAGTGTTTGTATATTTGTGGACTTTGTGTGCTGTATATGTGTACTGTTGTTGCTTGTTCGGTGTACATTTGTTGAATGAAATATATTGTTTTCAGTGAACAAAATGTTGTGATTTATTTACAGTATTCAAGTTGTGTATAGAGTGTAAAAAAAATGCTTTAGAGAAATGCTTAAGTGGCTAATTTGGTTATCAGAGAAACATATGGACATGGACTGTCTGCTATGAGCATGCATGTGCAGTTACCTGCCTGCTATGACACGATGAATTCCGCGGTTATTGCTTGAATGAGGTTAGGTAAACGCGCCTTTGCTTTTAGAACTAGGTTAAACTTAAACGCAGCAAGTAACAAATTACAGATGTACATATACGTAAATAATTAATTAATTAAATAATAATCTAGGCAGCGCTCTGCTGCGCTTGTCACGTTAGAAATATATCGGAGAACTCGCCGTGCAGCAGATCCGCGAATGGATGGAAGCCGTCCAGGGCAGCCAACGGGCTGATGCAGGCCGATGGCTGCTGATCGCTGGCAAAGTCAAAGGAGTCTGTCGAGTGGTCCAGCAATCGCAAGCTCAGCTCCACATCCGGCTTCTCCAGCGTCAGGTTCATCGATATGGGCAAGTCGCCGCGGGAAGGCAGCGCGGCGTCTGCGGATACCAGCAGCTCAGGATGGTAGCTGTTGAGGCAGTGCAGCGAGTCGCTGTCCGACTCCAGCAGCAGTGTGTTCAGCTCGTCCAGCGCTTGCATGCCCAGCAGGCTGTCCGTTTCCAGCGCTGCGCTGCCGTGCACACTGCCGCTGCTGCTGCTGCTGCTGCTGCTGCTGCTAGAGGCGGCTGAGGAGAGCGATGCGTAGGCCGAGCTGGGCGAGGAGGCTGCTGCGCAAAAGGCGGGCGAGCCCACGGAAGAGGATGCATAACATGATTCCGGCGAGCTAATGGGCACGTTTTTGGCATTTGTCATTGTGGGCGTGGCTGTTGCTGCAGCTGCCTTGGATTGCTTGCACTGGCGCTTGGCAGGCGTCTTTTTGCTGGACTTGACTGGCTTTTTAGGCTTGGCTGGTGGCGTTGGCACCTGCACCAGCTCCCGCTCAATGTCCAACTCCAGATCTGGCTCGGTGTCCACGCTGACGTGCGCCTCCCGGCTGGCACTCTCGCGCAGGCACTCGACTAGGAACTCGCTCTCGTAGCTGGGATCTTGCAGGGACTCAGTCAGCATGCCAATGTACTTCATGGCCAGCCGCAGCGTCGTTATCTTGGTCAGCTTCTCGTTCGTGTTGGCCGCATCCTCCCCCGTAATGGACTGCGGCACACAGTGTCGCAGGTGCTCGAACGCCATGTTGATCTCCCGCATGCGCGTGCGCTCCCTGGCGTTGGCTGTCTTCCGGCGATACTTGCTGAGCGGAGGCGCTTTCGTCTTGGCCGGGCTCTTGGCCTTGGCCTTGCTGGAGACGGTCTCTGCAGGCTGCAGCTCTGGGGAGGGCGCGGCTCTCGGGGCGGGCAGATCGCCGGGCAGGCGCCGCTGTCTCTTCTGGCGCAGCGAGTACTTCTCGCCCCGTCGACTGCCTGCCGCAGTGGTTGCCTTCCGCTTACGTGAATCCTTCGCGCTCAGTGGCTCAGCTTGATCTGTGTCCAGCTCCATCTCCGAGTCGGCGTAGTTGTGCAGCTCATATGCGTCCGATTTCATCTGCAACGAGGTTCAAGAGCGAAAGTTCGCGTCAGTTCTAATATTTCATTGATTGGTTAAGTTTTTGGACGGCTGCCCGCTTCTTGAGCGCAGGCGTGGGCTGTGCCGCCCCAGCAATCAAAAGCAATTAACAATTTGTTTGAATTGCCCAAAAATGCTGTTCCATCGCAATCGACTGCTGAACGGGGCAAACCAATGGACCGTAACGTGTCTAACCCACCCGCCAAAAAACAAACTGCTTCGTATTGAAGTCGCAGTGGTACGCGGCGGTGCCATGTGATGGCGCGTGGTGTGGTGTGGTGTGGGCGCTTCTTTCATGCCACCGTCGTTAAAACCCAGTGAAGCCGAAAAACGCATCGACCAAAAAGTCATAAACAAATTCATTCTTAGGCAGGGCTCAGCTTTTCCAATTTGGACTTCATTAAAACAAACTATTTTCCAATTCCTCAATCAGACGCGCATTGCGCAATCGCAAATGCTGCGAATCGATAAACTACGACGCCAGAGTCTTAGTCAGAGTCGGAGTCTTAGGCTGAGTCTGATTGAGTGCCTCACATGTTCAATCGACGGCCTGACTCATGCCCGGGCGCCCAGAAACGGACAATGCGCACAATTCGATTCGTCAGCGGATCGCGTTGCTAATCCCAAAAAGGTTGCCTCAAGGCGGCAGCTGTGGCACTTGCAACGCGCCACTGCAAACATCTCGATTTTAATCGTTGCGCAATTGACGTTTGCCTATCAAATTTAAGGCTGTACGCGATCTCTGACCAATACACGCGGCTATGCACATGGGCGTGGCCAATGGAGGACTGAGATTGATAATATATCTCAACTAAAGTCTGATTCAAGCTGCCTTCGTGCAGATTGCCTGCTAGAGATATTTGATTCTTTCACATATATAAATATTTCTAGAAATTTTAAATTTAACTTTCACTAAATTGTATTGCTATTGCCCTAATATTTAATAACTTAACTTAAATCTAAAAAAATATTCAAGCTGTCTTACTGCAGATTACCTGATTTAAATTTTTGATTCCTTCACATAAATTTAAAATTTTACTTTAAGAGGAAATATTTAAGTAATTTAATATAATTCTAAAAAGTATTCTAGTTATATTTAGTTCACTAAATGGAGTAAAGAAATTGTTAAATAACTTGTTAAAATTCTAAAAATGATTCAAAGCATAAACATTTAACTTTTTCAATGCACATAAAGCTTAACTTTCATATTTTTAGCTCAGTAAATATCTTCACTAAGTATGTATTTTCTTTAATCTACAGCCTAAGTTCCCAGTTACTTATTTAATTTTTTTCAGTTTTAAGTTTTTTAATTGTAAATGAATTCTAATTTATAATGAACAAATAAATCTTCTTTAATCTTCTTTATTTTGCACTTATCAAATCTATTGCATTAAAATTCCTTATTAAACCTAGAAGTTTATTAAAGTCATTTGCTTTAGATTCCTTTAGACATCAGACAGCTTTTGATTAATTTGCCAATTCACAATATCAAATATTTTGTTCGTTTTCATTGCAGACAGAATCGATTAATTAATCTTCAGTTAATAATAGCTCGGCTGAGTGTGGCCATTGTCTGAGCTGTAAAGTTCTGAAGTCTCTATGACCAGGTCATTTAAGTAGCAACAAATGGAATATGACGTCACAAAGTAATTATTGAAATGAACTAAACAAATTTGATTCTATTTGCAGTATACACAAAAATACATAGTTTTTAATTTATTCAACTGAATCAAAATGTCGAAAAAGTTGCAGTTTGCAGTTGCAAAAGTTGTCTTTAAACGTTTGCCCCACAAACAACTTGTGCAACAATGTTGCTGGGAAAGTTTTGCACTGTTTTGTGGTAGGTCAACTGTACTAAATATTTTCCATGACTTTTTCCACAAGCTTTTCATTTTCTATATATTTGTTTATTCAATTTTCTATGCGGTTGCGGCTAAAGTAAAAACTGCAACAACAACAACAAACAGCTAGAGGTAGGCAAATGGCAGCTATTAATGAATGCATTTTAATGCAAGAATTAAGTTACACGAAATGTAACTTGAGGCACGTCACAGCGTCATCAACAGCAGCAACAGCAACAACAGCAACAGCAGCAGCAGCAATGTGTTGTTACCGCCTAAACAATATGTCGAATGTTTCTGCACTGATGCTAACGCCCTTGCTTGTTGCTCGGATTGCGCCTTGGCCTCATAAGCAGTCAGATTAGAGTCAACTGTGCTGCAGAGGTGTAAATCTGACCAGATTGATTGCAATCAACGGGAGAGAGAGATAGAAAGACAGAGAGTGAGAGAAGGAGAGATCGTGTCAGGTTCACTTAAATGGGCAATTTGGTGCAGATTGCCAAAATTGGCAACAGATATTCTTGTACGACCCGGCCCAGTCCCAGTTGGACTTGGCTTGGCCAGTTGCTGGCACTTGTTGCATAGCTTTGACCATTCCAAGTGAATCGTGGCTTGAAACAAGTTGTTGTTGTTGTTGCTGTTGTTGTTGTTGCTGCTGTTGCTGTTGCTTGTGAATTGCTGTTGTGCGTTGTCTGTCTAACAGCATTGCACTTTTCATCGTTTACCGTTATAGCGCGCTATAAGGCCCGGACTATGCGATAGAGATCTCTCTTTTAGCCTATCCACCAGATGAATTGGCCAGCAACTAATGCTAATGCCAATGCTAATGCTCCAACTGCTCGCTGCCTATGCAATCTTCGTGTTCGACTTCCAACAGAGCCTCGAAATCCGCCACTTTCAACACGTTACAAATAAAATAAATACAAAATAAGGAAAGAATTCACTTTGCACTGTTCGTGCCAGCTTTGATTTCTGCTGTTGCCCTCCTGATTTACATGGCAATTAATTCTTGCCACGCGACGCTGCTTGCATGAAACGCGGCTGGCTTTCTAATGCCAACGACTGCCGAATGATCTTCAACGTTCGATATCAAAATGAGGAACAGTTATACTATAAATGATATTTGTGATGAGACATTCAACAAATTGTTATTGACGCATAACAATTTCGCCAGAAATCACGAAATATGGACATGTTTAGCGTATGAGTCGCGCGATTTAAGGCGAATTCATCTCTGAACTTTGAGCTCTAAAAAATAACAGATGCAAATTGTTATCGCCCACTGAGTCGCAAATTTTAATAATTGATCAAAAACTGCTGTCCCTTTAGAAAATATTCATTAGCTCATAAAAGTTCTATATATTCTGGTTTCCATTTTCATTTGTAGTATTTTTCTCACACAAATAATATTTTATACCTTTTGAATTGCTATTTTGATATCCAAAAATAATTTCAAATTTTATTTTATTTAAAATGATATGTCTGACGAATGCATCGAACTATTGGTTCTCTAGAGTACTTGCAATTTGATATGATATATATGTAATATGCATATTAGATGTATGTAAATCTTATGAACTTTTCCTTTAAATCTTTGTACACCTACTAGTTTAAAGTTTGTACATTTATAGCAAAGGAATGAATTTTTGCATTGTAATTCTCAATTCTCCCAGCTGATATACCCCTCCAGTTGTAGTTCGTGAGGCGCTCGTTACTGTAAGTGGGTGCACAAAAAGTTTACGCGACATGCAAGAAACAAGCAGCAATTAAGAGCAGTGCAAGTTCTCAGAGCCCTCCTTTCACCTGCGACGACGTTCGCCCTGTAGTTACCTGTGGCTGCTTTTGGCGCCGAAATGACGTGAAAATTAACAAGTTCCGTGTGTGGGCTCTACAAATTGCATGCGATTAGAGATATTCGCGGCTAATAAATGCTGTTCGACAAACTGCGGCAGGCGTGGGCGTGGCTGACAGGCAGGCAGGCAGGCAGGATGTGTGGGAGGCACACACAGGATGTGGGGCTCCGGCTTTTGCACTTGCTCGCTTGTTGATTGGCGCATTCGAGGCGCACGCCGCTTAAGTTTTCAATTACGCGGCAGCACAATGCGAAAGCAATTGAAATGCGCAGACAACAAGCAGAACTAACATTTCCCTCTTCGAGTAATTTTACCCAACAACAGCAACAACAAAGCTGACAAAAGGCCCGTCGTGCGTGCGCCCAGCCGTGAAGAGGCTTGGTGTAGCTCGTTTTCAAATTGTTCCATGTTTGTTTTTTTTTTTTTTTTTTTTTTTTTTTTTTTTTTTTTTTTTTTGGGAATTTTTTCTTTCTTTCTTTTATTGGTGTGCACTGCAGGGAGTTGCTGTCTATTCGAAGTGAACTTGAACCTACTCCCTGCATTTTTGGGGATAGCCATTACAGCTGAGGCAGTTAGCTCTAGGGCCAATGGAGTCGGCTAGCAGCAGTTGACGGAGAATGAAGTGGGCCAAGTTGCATGAGCATGTACGAAATTGTTGCTGAAAATTGAAAATTGAAAACGGAAGTGAAGCGGAATAATGCTGCTATCGATTACCGTGTTATCGATGGCATGGTAAGAGAATAATATTTTGCAGTGGTTAAGAAATCTACGAAATCTCTTTTCAATATTTACAAACTCCAATCTTTTGTTTACGACTTTTATTGGTATTTTATTTATTATTGTCATGTCAGTAAACATTGCGACTATATATTATCTGATATCGATGCACCGCTTGATTACATTCTTCATCAGTTTGGCCACATTCTGACTCTCAAGTAAAGCCCTTTAACCAATTGAGCAATACGCCCTTATTATTATTATTTAATTCGTAAACATATTGAGATAATCTGTGGGTCGTGCATGCATGCTTATAATTGACGATCAGATTATAGACTTATATTTCACTTTTTATATAGTCCAATAGGACACAAATATTAATATTAAAACAGCCTAGAGCAATCAGACGTTTGCTCCATTCTTTGCCTTTGCTAGCTTCTAACAAAAGCTTGAACATTTGTTGCCAAGTAGATTCTTCCTTATATTGCTTCTCATTGGCACGATATTAGTCTATTGTAGCTTACTAAGTCGGCTCACATAGTGGAACATGATAAAAGAATCTTCTGCTGGCTGCGCTTGCGGCTCGCCATTGGCACAGTTCTTGCCGTATGTATGCTCACATGCAACATGATAGAAATGCATTTGGCAATCTCTTTTTTTTTTTTGAAATTTGTTGTTTACCCGGCTCAGTCGGCTCAAAACAACAACAACAGCGAAGCAGACAAAAGGCGCGCCGTGCGTCCACCCAGGCGTGAAGGGGCAACAACAAGGGGCACAGGGCGTGGTATGGTTAAAGTTTTTTTTATTAGGTTATTTTTTATTTTTATTTTTTTTTTTCGGGTGCTGCTGGGAGTTACTGTCTATTCAAAGTGCACTTGAAACTGCTGACTAGCGGCGTCGCCCAGCTCCGCCCCAGTTGCTGCAGTCGCTGCATTTTTAGGTGTAGCTATTAAATTTAGAACTATTTTGCTGTACGCTCGTCTGCACGCGATGAAGGCAGAGGGCGGCGATCTGGTGGGAGCAGGAGGCAGCGCTGGAGAACGAGGCAGAATGCATTAAATATGCGAGAAATGCTGCATTTGTTACTAACCTACAGAAGTAACGAGCAGAGAAATGAACCGAAGAATTTCTTGGTTCTTGAAATCGTTCCTTTCGACTAATGAAATAACTGTGTAGAAAAGCCATTCAAGAGCCATCATAAAATATGTGAATTTTTCACAAACTAAATAAATAAAGAATTTTTGAATATTAATGTCTGAATATATATAAAAGCAAATCATGCTTATGCTGCAGACTTTGCTTTCCAAATGCTATTTATGCTAGTTAATTTGCCGGCTTTGTCTATCCTATCAACGATTATAATTCAAGCGATTTTGCTTTGTTTATTCTCCAAAGACTTAAAAAAATTTTTTTTTTTTTTTTAATTTTTGGGCAGCTTTAAAATTAGTTTATTGTATGCAAGTTTCGTATTCGCTTCTCTTAATGCTTTAAATTATAATTTCCTATTTGCTTTCTGTGAAGAGCATTCAAAATCTGCAGCTCTTAGTGCGACTTTGTCATTGTTGTTGCTGTTGCTTCTCTGTTGTCGTTGTTGTTGTTGTCTCGTGCTGTTGCCAGCTGCATGTGGCCGCCTTTATTGTTTTCGTTCAGCTTTCCGCCTGCATCTCAGTTTCCATTTGCGTTGGGCTGAATTTTATTTTTAGTCAGCTTGCGGCGGGTTTCCGATTTTAATTCCTTCATTTCATTTTTCTTTTTCTTTATTTTTGTGTGTATTTTTATTTTATTTTTTCGCATCTTTCGATTTTTGTTTTATGGCTTTTGTGGTTGTTGTGCTCGTTGATTTGTTGCCATTTTTTGTGTGCGTTTTTTGTTGGCTCACTTTGCTTGAATTTGTTTGATTTTCCATTTAAGTTCAGTTTGTTTATTAAAATTGGCACACGTCGCGTATGTGTGATGTGCGTGCATCTGCTCTAGAGGGGGCAGAGCCCCTCCTCCTCTCTATCCTTAACTATGTGTACATATTTTCGAAGCACTGTCGGGTTTTATATTACCAATTCAGTTTATTTATCGTTTTGATTTAGCTTGGATATTTTTCTCAAATGTTTCATTGTCTTTTATTTGTGCAAAAGATTCTTATCTTTTGTTTTCCCGTTTATGTGGGTCACGGTGTCAGGGACGTGTTTAAAACAATTTCAGCAACAAATAAGATATGATTATGTTATTTTAAATGTTTCAAATTCCTAGACAAGTTATTTTAGCAACTATATATAAAGCTGTTCAAACTAATATTAGAAAATCCTAACTAAAATATTTATAAAATCAATATCTTGATGTCTATCGTTAAATCTTGAAAACAGTAAAATTTATTACTGAATCTGCTTCATTTATACATAAATGTTTTCGCAAACATGTTTCAATGTTTATTTAGAAATAAAAATAAAACAAAAAGTCTTTAATAAATCACGAACGATTGGAGCAAATCAAATAAAATTTCTTTATACAAATCATGATTGATCTTGCCAATTGGCAAAGGTGATGTACAGTGAATAATGCTTTAAATAGTATAACAAATATTGACTCACTGCTGAGGCATTAATTGAAATTTATTGGCTTCGGGCAGTTCCTTGCCAAAATTTGATTCAATTGAATTGAAAGTTTTCTCTGTTCGCCATGTTAAGTTCACAAAGGGCAAGGCAGCCAGCCAGCCAAGCCGTCTGCTGGGCCCACAAAAGTGGGGGAGTCGGTACATTAAAACTGTTGACAAGCTGCCTGGCCCCCAGCCCGAAATCCAACCCCGATGGACCAAAAGTTTTCAACACCTTGGGCAATGCGTCGCCTGCCTCGGCGAGCAGCAGCTCCCCCATATGCCCGCCCGCTGCTCATATCTTCTGTCTTGGCTATTTTTATTGATACAAGAACAACAGCAACAGCTACAGCTACAAAAACAACATATGAGTTATGTAGACATTTATTTACCTTTTTGATTTCATAAATCCAACAAAATGTGCGAGCCGCCGCCGTCTGCAGTTGTTTTGAGTTTTGTTTCTTTGTTTTTCAATTGTGAAAACTTTAATGTAGTTTCTGTTATTTTTAACACTTTTTAGCACTGTGTTGGAGATTTGTTGATATTGTATGGAAATTCTTGCTTAATTAAGCTCAACCCGCGCACATTGCGTGAATCCGAAATGGAATCTGAATCAATTTAAATTCCACAGCATTAGCTAATTAGTCATAGAAATTGTTTAAAATTTATTTGGTTTTTATTTATATATTCGATTAATTTTGTTGAGACTCTATTTTATATTAACGCTTGCCTCATGCACACACACACAATTCGCTCGCATTAACACAATAAAAATTCTGTTTTAATTTTTGTTTTATCTTCCGAATAAATTCGTTTTATTTCCTCGACTTTGCTTAGCGAAACTTGTTTGATATCATTTTGTATATAGTTTTTATTTGTATATGTTTGTTTGCGATTTTTTATTTATTTTTATTATTATTATTTTTATGCTTTTATGTTGGACCACAGCTCGCCAAGAATCCGTCGGATATGCGCGCTGCAGCCGCGTATGTGGGAAAAGCCTCGAAGAACAGTTTTTCCAAAACGTGCGAGCCGCGTGTGTCAGCAGCGTGAGTCTGCAACTGTGACTGCCACTGTGTGTGTGTGTGTATGTGTGCGAGTGTGTGTGCGGCCGGCTGCTAAAAATATCCGTGAGTACGCGCGCGGCTGATGTGTATCTATGTATCTGTATCCAATAACCCGAGATGGCGCACAAAAATACACTGCCCGTTGCGGTGGCTGCTGCTGCTGTTGCTACTTGGAGAAAGGTGCGTTTGCGTCTCTGTTTTCGTTTTCGACGCGCTGCGTCTGCTCGCTGCGCTAGTTCGCTATGCACTGAGCAGCGATTGTCAGCGACGCCGTCAGCCGTCAACTGTCAACCGTCCGCTGTCCGCCGTCCGCCGTCCGCCGTCTGCCGTACGGCGTCAATGTCGTCCACTCGGCTGTACACTTTGGCTTTGACTCCGTTAGCCAAGCCAACGCGTTGTCTGAGTAGGCTTATTGTGGTATTTGTTATTGTGGCTGCTGACTTGGATGCCCACACAGAACATGCGGCGGGAGCCCGGGTACCGGCACTTGTCTGTTGCGCTGAGCGTGCGGCGCGCTATTGAAACGATCAATGAATGAAATGCGGCATTAAAAAGCAGCACTTTACGTTTGTATCTTACAGATACGAGTACGAGCCACAGTTCGCCAGCTCGCCAGCTCACCAGCTTGCCAGCCGACCAATAAACCGCTAAACCCACTGCCTGAGCGGAGATCGTTTCTCGGCAACGCCAACACACAGCGTCATCGCAGCCCCAATCCCGCTGAGCAACAACAAACCAGTTCTCGTTGCTCTCCACTCATTCCACTCGCAGTCACCCACTCAATTCACTCGGCTTGTGTGGGTGTCGCTGCGTTGGCAGGCCGGTTGGTCGGATCACTCGATCTGAACACATTCGATGCTCTTGAGTGAGTTTTGTGCGCTTCGTGCTGAATTTTCGTTTTCATTTCGAGTTGAGTTCGTTTCGTTGGAGCGCTCTCAGAGATTTGTTTGCTGCGTTTGCGCTCTGGGTATGATCTAATATTGCCAGGCAGTTATTTATTTAAATTTATTACAAATTTTTTATTTATGTCGCTGCGCTGCTTGACATTCATTTATATATCAGTCAAACATTGTTATGGCCCACAGATACATACAATTGCAATTTGTTCATTTCTGACTACCTTCAACTATTTTCCACACTATTTTGGAGCTTTTGCCGAATTCTTTCGAAGCACAGCCAGCAGCTATTCAGAATGATGATGACATACATAGATCTCCGCTTGTTCATCGCAAATCATATTAATGGCATGTCTTCATTGTGGTAAGCATTTTAGCAGTAAAGCTAAATAATATGCATAGGAATTAGTTTTTATTTTTGTTTGTTTTGTTTAGTTTAGTTTTCAAAATCTGAAGATTTTTAATATATTCTGCATTAAAACTATATTGATGCTTGTTTTTGATTTATTTATAGCTCAGCTAATATGAAGATGTGTAGATACTGATTATAGCAATATAAAATGTTAATTGCATAATCTTGATGAACATATCATTTATGTCATATCAGATTCTCTCCCTCGATCTCGTACTTTGGCTTTTTGCTACTTTATTGTTCAGCTGCAGACATTTAATTTACTTGTTTTTATTTTACTTTTTTTATTTATATGAGACATTTTATTTTTATTTTTTTCATATTTTCACTTGAACACTTTGATTTAATTTGTATAAAAAGCAACATATTTATGAATATTATTTAAAATAAATAAAGACAATTAAAATAAATCTTCACATTAGTTAATCGAGCTTAGATATTACTAGATTTAGGCTGCCCTCTTATATGGCAATTGTGCTATGTTCATTGTTTAAGCAAATAGTTATAATTATAAATGGCAACAGGCAATTGATAATTGCAAAATGGATTTGCTCCTGCGGGCAAAACAAGTTGAATGACGACATACTCATGCGAGATATTGATAAATTGCTGGCTGACAAGACGAATCGACTGATCGCCTGACTTACTGACTGACTGTGTGACTGATCGACCGATCGACCGATCGACCGATCGACTGATCGAGCCAACAGCAGCTGACTTGCTGGCACGCTCATTTGTCTGTCGATCAGTTCGTCATTGTTGTCTTTGGCGTTTTGTGTTCTGGCACACACAGAAACAAATAAATCATGATGATAACAATTAAATTTGATTATAATTTTTCAACAGCTCCGTCAGCTGTTCGCCCGTTTCTCTGCTCGGCAGTAAGCTGCATAAATTATATCCATGTCGCAAGGTCAGCGAGTGAAAAATTAAGGCATGCAACATTAATTTGATTTGCGTGCGAATCGTGCTGCTTTTGGGAGTGACGGCTCCGTGGGGCAGCAAAAGACACAAAGCATACATACTTCAAATGCTTATATAAGTCTACAAATTGGCCAATAGCATTCGGCCATAATACGCTGACAACTTAATCTACAGCCAGCCAAGTCCAAAGACAGGAACATGACCAAACGCGCCATAATTAAAAAAACAAACGTCACATTTTTATTATTTTTATGCTTGTCTATCTATTTTTATTTTATTTTATTTTGTATGCTACAGTCTAGAAGGACAGGGGCTTAGCTGAAAGAGGGCTTGCTGAAATGTTAAAGAATTATTTAATTAGTTGGATTTGGTAATAAAACTGTATTTGTTAAGTCAGCGATTTGCTTTGGGACTGAAAAGAAAAAGTCTTAAGTTGAACAGATAAAAAATATTTGCTTAAATTTATGAATTATAATAATCACTTAAGCAATGTTTATTTTAATAATTTTAATTTAATTTAATTTATTTTTTTAAGTTACCCACAGATATATAAAGAAGAGTGCTTAGCATATTTTAAGAATACTTTCAAAGCTTTCAAGTTACTTGAGATGATTCAGAGTTCTACAGAACTATCTTTGTGAGTAGAGTCCCCTTCTGTCGCCGCCCCTGGCTGCCAATTGCTCATGCAAATGCTTTAAAGGCGACTGACTATGCACGCATTTGAATTTTCTACCCGCTCTGGCTTTTAATTACCAGCCTGCAAATCGCGTTTGCCTGAATATGGTAACAAAACGCGAGACTGAGTCTATGAGTCGTTTGGGGCTACTGAACGCCGATGATTCGTAGTGCTCGCCGCGGCCTGGTAATGGAGCCCGCTTAGGAAGTAGGAGACGCGACGCGGGCCTTTTATGGCTCGCTTTGAGAAAGCGGTGAGAAAGCCAAGTATCTCAGCCGAGTTCGGCTAATTGTGAGCATCGCTTTGGGCCAGCTTCTTGACAAGTTGTTGGCGTCGCTGTTAACTGCGCTTTGCGTTGGCGCTGGGCCGACGCTTGTGTGCGGGGGCGTTGCGACGTTGATTTTATTTATATTTTACGTAAATTTATTATTACAAATATTGTTATTGCCGCTTTCAAGCGGAAATACACTCGAACCCAGGCCAAGCAAGCCAAGCAGCTGCCCACGCGCCCAATCCAAAGTTGAAACAACAACCACCTGCACTCTGGGCCACTGCGCCAACTCATTCACTCATTCATTCATACAGCTGGGGAAGTGGAAGCTGGCGACCGAGAATGATCTTTGTCTATGGCCAAGATAAGCGCTTGAGTGGAATAGACGGCTTGACTCTCGAGCGGAAATGCCGCGCGATTAAGTTGTTGTTTCTACTTAATTTTATACGCATTTTCATTCAGCTTTTATACATTCATTTGTTTTTTTTTTTTTTTTTTTTTTTTTGTTTGTTTTTAATGTTATTTTTTATTTAGAAATAATTTGCATAAGTGACGGCCACCTAGAAAGTCTGCTTGACTTTGAGTATATGAACGTGGGTGACTTTAATTAACTCGTTTATCAGCTCATGAATAGCAGTGCACCAATTCAGTTTGGATACATCTTTTAGGGCAGCTGAACAATATTTATTTGGCTGAGAAACAATTTAAAAATATTATACAAATTATTATTAATATTCACATATTGTCTAGATTAAAAGTTCTTACTAGTTTGGGATATAGCTATAATTTGATGCAAATTTAGCGGCACTCAAGCTAGATTTAGTAGATTAGAATACAATTATAGCTAATAAATCATAAATTCATATTAACTTTATAATATATTCATAGCTCATTCTCTTCGTCTCTATCAGAACTTTCTGGACTCCTGCATATACTTAGAGAGCAACAGGTTGATTTCAAGTCGCATCAAACAAAGTTACCCTATAATAATAATTTGAAAGTTATTGAATTTTTAAAATAACCTAATTATAACTTTATTAATAAATAATACGAATTTGGCAAATGAATTTATTTAAGAACTTTAATGATTTATTTAAAGCAAATCAGTTTCTAGGAATTGTATTATAATTTAGCCGCTTTCTTTGAATTTAATGATATTTATATCGCATCTAATTTCGAAAATTTGCTGTCTGCATCTAAATTCTTAAGCTGATATTTAAATTAAGTGCCAAGGTGGGCGTATTTTCATTAACTCTGACAACTTGGAAATTTGAATGCCTTCATTTTACACTCACCATGGTGATTGCTCAATGACTCGTAGAAGCGTAGGTAAGGCCGGATTAATAAGTTGTAAAATCGCTCAGATTAACTAATGACAGCGAAATTGACTGACAATCAGAGAATTTCTGTCTGCATGATTTTACATATATAAATAAAATAATATGAGAACTATTATAAGCTAAAGCTAATCGTGTGCTCAAATTAATACGCATTCACTGCCTGGCTGACAAAGCATAACAAATCATGCCTAGGCACGAGCATGAGGCAAATCTTGGCCAAGTTAATCGTGAGCGATGGCTGTGACTGTGTGTATGTCTGTGTGTGTGTGTGTTTGTGTGTGTTATGTCTGCTGCTCATTGAAACGTGATTTTGACTTGCGATTGCCCACTTATTGTTGTTGCTTTCTGGTCGGCCGTCAACATTTAAGTCATTTAACATTATATATCAGATGTATGCTGCCAGCTGTAATCCCCAGCAGTGTTGTCGTCATCGACTCGGCCGCTGTTGATGCTGTTGGCTTTTATTAATTTCTTTCAATTAATTACGCTACAAATTGTCAACAAAACGCAAACGCAAACGCAAACGCGATTCCAGTCCTAATCGCCACCAATGCAAATCTCTATGGGCCACAAACTGGAATTGGACAGCGAACATGACATTGGATTGGATTGGCTTGGTTTAGGATGCGCATCTGGGGGACACTGTATGAGTGTGAGTGCGTGTGTGTATTTGTGTGTGTGTGTGTGCAAGACCATTGGCCCGGAAAATGTCTGCTGGCGGCATTAACTCATCAGCGCCAGCAACAATAATCAAAATCAAAATCAAAATCAGGCCCAAACTACTCGCAAACTGGGTAAGCAAATATTGATTGGCTCACTCTCACAAAACCCATGCTTGCTGCCAATTCTAATTGCTGCCGCATTGTGAGGGGGCCATGGAAATGAGTCGCTGCAGGCTGCTGATGAGTGAATAAATGCGTATGCAAACTGACAGGCGGCAATAATTTCAGCAACTTGTCAATGCTGATGCTCATCAAAGTGACTTCTCATTGGTCTGCTTGGGGATAATATTGCCCCGCCTCTTCTCCGAAAACGTTGACAAAACGCCAACGCCAACGACACTGCCAACGTCGACGCCAACGCCCACAACAAACGCTGACCGAGATTCTATATAGGCTGTAGTTTTGATAGCTGCGTGTCTGCTTTATAAATAAAGTGGCTCAG